TTAACTGTACTGGCCATAACTCTTCCCATGGGACACAGCCACGCTGGCACAGGTGCTGAGCAGTCTCACACAAACCACAACCTGATTTCTGCTTACTTCCAATTTTTCTTCTTATTTTAAAGCTGAAAACACAGAGGAATGTATCATCCTGTCATCCTACGTCCTGCACAATTCCTTGGCCTATGGAGCTGACTGGTCGAGGCTGTGCCCAAGGGATTCCTTGCCTGCAGCACAGCACCCTGCTGCTCCCTGCCTGTCTTCTGGGGAGCTCCTGCAAGCACCAGAGCAAGGAGACGAGAGGCTCAATGTGCAGGTCCAAAACCTGAAGATCATTTATGAGTCTCCCACAGCCACCTTTGATGTAATCCTGGACGAGGAGAGCGAAGGTCCTGCCGTGCCGCCGGGAGCAGGGGCAGCAACGAGGCTGCATGGGGATCCTGAGGTCAGGGGCTCTGGATTAAAGGGAAGTTTGGATTTGGCTGGAGGTCCTGCCCCAGGGGGAGATCCTGGGCCAGCCAGTGCTTCTGGAGCCAGATCTAATGGGACAGGTCTGGACAGCAGTGCTGACTCAGCCAAGTCTCCAGACAGCCCTAAAGAAATGAGCATTGTGGCCACTTGTTCCTTCTATGACAACATCCTCCACGTGTGGAGGTGGGAGATGAGCCTGGTGACCCCTTCGGACGTGCCAAGTCCTATATCTCCACCCAGAAGAACAGCTGAAAGTTTGCATTGACCAGGCCCAGGGGAGGAGAACTGTACTGGGAGTGACAACTGAGCTCATACCCTGCTAATTCCATTGGGCTTTCCCAGTTTTACTGCTGAGCTTGGGAGTCCTTCGCTGATGGAATTCCTGGTGGTTTATTTCAGCATGGAGCAAAGCCTTTGCTTAGAGGTCTGTGCTCAAGCACAGACAGGTTTGTTTAGTTTTCCCCTTAATGTCCTAGCTCCAAGTGGGACAGTCTTCCCCCAGGCTGCTCTGTACCTCAGATCTGACTCCTCTCAAGGCTGGTTTGCATTTCAGTGGCTCTCTGAAGCCTGTTCTCCTCCTCCATCACAAACCATACTGGCTGTGTGTAGGCCCAGAGTGTGACCAGAGTTCCCTGAATGCCTTGGGAAAGCCCAGGAGCAGAGGCTTAGCTCTGTGATCTAGACCAGTTTTCCCTCGAGGAGAGCTCAGGCTGACAGGCACTGACACTGCAGTGACTTGGAGAGGTTTCTAGGAGACATCCTGGTTTAGGAGATGCAGCCTGCCTGGTGGGACAGCAGCTGGTGATGGTGAGCAGAGCCTTTGTGGGGATCCTGCTGTGCCTGCATTATTCCACATCACCTGACTGCAGTGCCCCTCCTTCTTCCCAGTGGTTTGGATCACCCCTGCAGTGACCACTCCATGTTTTAGTGCCACTTACCCACCCCACAGCCTCTTGGGATCCAACCCATGCACACACACATTCAGGTCCAAAGTCACGGTCTTTGTTTTTTTAAAGGTGAACAGCTTTAAGATCAAAACCTCCAAAAAGTGTAACCATCTTTTTAAGTTCAAAATAACTCCAGAAACCAAAATCTGAACAGCATTGTCCTAACTACCTCCAGGAATGGCTGCAGGATTTCTCATGGTTGTCCATTAGCTTTCTTTTCTCACTGTGAAACATCAGCAAAACAGCTTTTCTGGGTCATTTTCTCTGTTTCTAGAAACAAAAAACCAGCTTCAAGTAGGTAAGTGACTTCCAGCCTGCATGGTTTGTCTGTGAGGGTCCTAAAGGGTGAATTGTGTGGAGGGCAAGAAACACCAGCACTCGGTGTAACAGTGCTGCAGCTAAACGAGGCACAGCAGAATTTTTCCTGCTCTCAAACTCCCTCTCAAGGGTGAATGTGTGTTTGAGCAAACCTTGAGCACTGTTACATGGAGATTCACATTAGTACTGCAAACAAGAGCTTTTGTTAAAGAAAAAAACATGCTATTTTTGGATGTTTCTAAAATAAACCCAATATAAGCGATTGATATTTCTTGGCTGAGTTTTAGGAAACAGGATTTGGAAGTTAGTCCTTGGGAGGAATTTCCACCCTGTCCTGGGTGGCTCTGGGGGCGTTTGGTGACTGTTCTTTGGGAGTCAGAGTGGACACTGCAGTTTCCTGGGAGCACCGAGGGTGTGTCCCTGTCAGATGACTCTTTGAAAGGTTTTAAGTGCTTTTTATTGCCGTGTGAGAGCTAGAGGAAACAGCCTGAGGCCAGCAAAGCCTCAGTGGTGTCACCCACCAGGCCAGGACTAGCGCTGTGCCAGTCTGTACTGGGAGAAAAGAGACTCCAGTTGGGATCTGCCTTCACACACGGCGTGAGGTACAGGATTTGGTCAAGACCAAGCTGGAATTGGCATCAGAGGGGCACAGGATCTGCACTCCAGCCTTACCTCATCCACCTCCAAAGTGAGAAGTGCTGCCTCTGCCCACAGCAGCACCCAGAGCTGAGGGCAGGAAACAGCCACTTGTGTGGAGCTGTTCCTCTGATGAGCTTCAAAGTGAAAAATACAGAGGTTAATTGGTTGGAAAAGCTGTTTGGGAGAAATCCTGGTTTAGTGGGAGATGCAGCCTTGCCTGGTGGGACAGCAGCTGGTGAAGGTGGGCAAAGGTGTGCCTACATCATTCTGCATCACCTGACTGCAGTCTCCTTCCTCACTCCCACTGGGAATGGTCCTTGCACCCTCACAACTTCTCCTGTGGTGATTTGGGGCTACAGCACCTTCACCCCTGCCCTCACCACCCCTGAAACATGCATTTCTTAACCAGCCCCTCGAGGACTCAGCTCTCCCTGCACACTGGATGCTCAGAGCACACACTAGACACGCTTCTTTCCCCCAAACCAAATGTTTCCATTCCAATGAACCCTGGTAGTGTTCCAAGCCAGGTTGGCTAAAGCCTTGAGCAACCTGCTCTGGTGGCAGCTATCCCTGATCAGGGTAGGGGCTTGGGACCAGATGATCTATAAGACCTAACCCAACCCCTAAAAATCCTATTAATTCAATCCTTAAGCCTTGCAGCACTTTGCATTTAGACAGTTCATGGACCCCCGAGTGAGCTGTGCAGGCACCACTGTCTCCCAGGGGAGTTCCCAGCCATGGATGGGGAATCAACAGCCAATTTCCCCATGAAATCAGACGTGGCACAAGGACAGGGTGGAAGGATGTGCTTTAATAGCCCCTGAGCCTGTGCCGTGCTGCAGTGCCTCCTCCCGGAGCCACCGGACCCTCTCTACCGCGCGTAGTTCTTCGGGAAGAGCTGGAAGAGCTTCCCCTCCTGCGTGGGCTCGAAGCCGTACTTCTCCAGGTTCTCGGGGTCGAAGGTGCCGTCCTTGAAGTCCTTCTCGATGCGCGGGGCCACCACCTCGCTGAAGATGTGCTTGGCGGTGAGGGGCGGC